ACAACCATATACAGTAGTGTTATACAACCGTATACAGTAGTGTATTATACAACCATATACATGATTGTATTATACAACAATATACAGTAGTGTATTATACAACAACATACAGTAGTGTATTATACAACCATTTACAGTAGTGTAGTATACAACCGTATACAGTAGTGTTGTACAACCATATACAGTAGTGTATTATACAACCATATACAGTAGTGTATAATACAACAATATACAGTAGTGTATTATACAACCATATACATTAGTGTATTATACAACAATATACAGTAGTGTTATACAATCAAATACAGTGTATTATACAACCATAAACAGTAGTGTTGTACAAACATGTAGTGTATTATACAACCATTTACAGTAGTGTAATATACAACCATATACAGTAGTGTAGTATACAACCATATACAGTAGTGAAGTATACAACCTTATACAGTAGTGTTATACAACCGTTTACAGTAGTGTTGTACAACCATATACAGTAGTGTATTATACAACCACATACAGTAGTGTATTATACAACCATATACAGTAGTGTTGTACAAACATGTAGTGTATCATACAACCATATACAGTAGTGTTATACAACCATATACAGTAGTGTTGTACAACCATATACAGTAGTGTTATACAACCATATACAGTAATGTATTATACAACCATATACAGTAGTGTATTATACAACAATATACAGTAGTGTATTATACAACCATATACAGTAGTGTATTATACAACCATATACAGTAGTGTATTATACAACCATATACAGTAGTGTATTATACAACCATATACATTAGTGTATTATACAACAATATACAGTAGTGTATTACACAACAATATACAGTAGTGTATTATACAACCATATACAGAGTGTATTATACAACCATATACAGTAGTGTATTATACAACCGTATACAGTAGTGTTGTACAACCATATACAGTAGTGTTATACAACCATTTACAGTAGTTTATTATACAACCATATACAGTAGTGTTGTACAACCATAAACAGTAGTAATGTACAAACATGTAGTGTATTATACAACCGTATACAGTAGTGTATTATACAACCATTTACAGTAGTGTAGTATACAACCATATACAGTAGTGTATTATACAACCTTATACAGTAGTGTTGTACAACCATATACAATAGTGTAGTACAACCATATACAGTAGTGTATTATACAACCATATACAGTGTATTATACAACCATAAACAGTAGTGTTGTACAAACATGTAGTGTATTATACAACCATTTACAGTAGTGTAGTATACAACCATATACAGTAGTGTTGTACAACCATATACAGTAGTGTTATACAACCGTATACAGTAGTGTTGTACAAACATAAACAGTAATGTATTATACAACCATATACAGTAGTGTTATACAACCGTATACAGTAGTGTATTATACAACCATATACAGTAGTGTATTATACAACCATATACAGTAGTGTTGTACAACCATATACAGTAGTGTTATACAATCATATACAGTAGTGTTATACAACCATATACAGTAGTGTTATACAACCGTATACAGTAGTGTATTATACAACCATATACAGTAGTGTTGTACAACCATATACAGAAGTGTATTATACAACCACATACAGTAGTGTATTAAACAACCATATACAGTAGTGTATTATACAACCATATACAGTAGTGTATTATAGAACCATATACAGTAGTGTATTATACAACCATATACAGTAGTGTTGTACAACCATATACAGTAGTGTTATACAACCATATACAGTAGTGTTGTACAACCATATACAGTAGTGTTATACAACCATATACAGTAGTGTTGTACAAACATAAACAGTAGTGTTATNTACAACCATATACAGTAGTGTATTATACAACCATATACAGTAGTGTTGTAAAACCATATACAGTAGTGTATTATACAACCATATACAGTAGTGTATTATACAACCATATACAGTAGTGTTATACAACCATATACAGTAGTGTTGTACAACCATATACAGTAGTGTTATACAACCATATACAGTAGTGTATTATACAACCATATACAGTAGTGTATTATACAACCATATACAGTAGTGTATTATACAACCATATACAGTAGTGTATTATACAACCATATACAGTAGTGTATTATACAACCATATACAGTAGTGTATTATACAACCATATACAGTAGTGTATTATACAACCATATACAGTAGTGTATTATACAACCATATACAGTAGTGTATTATACAACCATATACAGTAGTGTATTATACAACCATATACAGTAGTGTATTATACAACCATATACAGTAGTGTATTATACAACCATATACAGTAGTGTATTATACAACCATATACAGTAGTGTATTATACAACCATATACAGTAGTGTATTATACAACCATATACAGTAGTGTATTATACAACCATATACAGTAGTGTATTATACAACCATATACAGTAGTGTATTATACAACCATATACAGTAGTGTATTATACAACCATATACAGTAGTGTTATACAACCATATACAGTAGTGTATTATACAACCATATACAGTAGTGTATTATACAACCATATACAGTAGTGTATTATACAACCATATACAGTAGTGTATTATACAACCATATACAGTAGTGTATTATACAACCATATACAGTAGTGTATTATACAACCATATACAGTAGTGTATTATACAACCATATACAGTAGTGTATTATACAACCATATACAGTAGTGTATTATACAACCATATACAGTAGTGTTATACAACCATAAACAGTAGTGTTATACAACCATATACAGTACAGTTGTACAACCATATACAGTAGTGTTGTACAACCACATACAGTAGTGTATTATACAACCATATACAGTAGTGTTGTACAACCATATACAGTAGTGTTATACAACAATATACAGTAGTGTTGTACAACCATATACAGTAGTGTATTATACAACCATATACAGTAGTGTTGTACAACCATCTACAGTAGTGTATTATGCAACCATATACAGTAGTGTTATACAACCATATACAGTAGTGTATTATACAACCATATACATTAGTGTATTATACAACCTTATACAGTAGTGTTGTACAACCATATACATTAGTGTATTATACAACCATATACAGAAGTGTATTATACAACCATATACAGTAGTGTATTATACAACCATATACAGTAGTGTATTATACAACCATATACAGTAGTGTTATACAACTGTATACAGTAGTGTTGTAAAACCATATACAGTAGTGTATTATACAACCATATACAGTGGTGTATAATACAACCATATACAGAGTGTATTATACAACCATATACAGTAGTGTATTATACAACCATATACAGTAGTGTTATACAACCATAAACAGTAGTGTTGTACAACCATATACAGTAGTGTATTATACAACCGTATACAGTAGTGTTGTACAACCATATACAGTAGTGTATTATACAACAATATACAGTAGTGTATTATACAACCATATACAGTGGTGTATAATACAACCATATACAGAGTGGATTATACAACCATATACAGTAGGGTATTATACAACCATATACAGTAGTGTTATACAACTGTCAGTAGTGTATTATACAACCGTATACAGTAGTGTTGTACAACCATATACAGTAGTGTTATAAAACCATATACAGTAGTGTTGTACAACCATATACAGTAGTGTTATAAAACCATATACAGTAGTGTTGTACAACCATATACAGTAGTGTTATAAAACCATATACAGTAGTGTTGTACAACCATATACAGTAGTGTATTATACAACCTTATACAGTAGTGTATTATACAAACATATACGGTAGTGTTATACAACCATATACAGTAGTGTATTATACAACCATATACAGGAGTGTATTATACAACCATATACAGTAGTGTATTATACAACCATATACAGTAGTGTATTATACAACCATATACAGTAGTGTATTATACAACCATATACAGTAGTGTATTATACAACCATATACAGTAGTGTATTATACAACCATATACAGTAGTGTATTATACAACCATATACAGTAGTGTATTATACAACCATATACAGTAGTGTATTATACAACCATATACAGTAGTGTTATACAACCATATACAGTAGTGTTATACAACCATATACAGTAGTGTATTATACAACCATATACAGTAGTGTATTATACAACCATATACAGTAGTGTATTATACAACCATATACAGTAGTGTATTATACAACCATATACAGTAGTGTATTATACAACCATATACAGTAGTGTATTATACAACCATATACAGTAGTGTATTATACAACCATATACAGTAGTGTATTATACAACCATATACAGTAGTGTATTATACAACCATATACAGTAGTGTATTATACAACCATATACAGTAGTGTATTATACAACCATATACAGTAGTGTATTATACAACCATATACAGTAGTGTATTATACAACCATATACAGTAGTGTATTATACAACCATATACAGTAGTGTATTATACAACCATATACAGTAGTGTTGTACAACCATATACAGTAGTGTATTATACAACCATATACAGTAATGTTGTACAACCATATACAGTAGTGTATTATGCAACCATATACAGTAGTGTTGTACAACCATAAACAGTAGTGTTGTACAACTATGTAGAGTATTATACAACCATATACAGTAGTGTTTTATACAACCATATACAGTAGTGTTGTACAACCATATACAGTAGTGTATATGGTTGTATAACACTACTGTATATGGTTGTACAACATTACTGTATATGGTTATATAATACACTACTGTATACGGTTGTATAACACTACTATGGTTGTACAACACTAATGTTTATGGTTGTACAACACTAATGTTTATGGTTGTACAACGCTACTGTATATGGTTGCATATACAGTAGTGTATTATACATACTTATACAGTAGTGTATTATACAGCCATATACAGCACTGTTATACAACCATATAAAGTAGTGTATTATACAACCTTATACAGTAGTGTATTATACATCCATATACAGTAATGTTGAACAACCATATACAGAAGTGTATTATGAAACCATATACAGTAGTGTCGTACAACCATATACAGTAGTGTTGTACAAACATGGTGTTTTACACTTGGCTCATGCTCTCTTAATATGAACAGAGCAATTGATCAGAGCTCTCAATCTATTTTCACCAAAACAAAAATCAGTAGAAAATACCACAGCGGGATTCACCACCCAACATAATTCAAACAAAACACAGTAACCATGGCAAAACGGAAAACGTCCAGGCAAGAATAAAGGTTAGGGTTAGGGTTAGGGTTAGGGTTAATGATAAAGGTGCCAAATAACGGGGAGGTTCCAGGAGTTTCTCACAGAAAGTAGACACACACAATGGGAAATGGCTCTTTTCCAGTAAAATTTACAGTCACAATAAATTACCGGGTTTTCGGAAGCAGAAAATGTATACCACCTCCTATCAAATTGCACAGTTATTATACAACTACTGTATCTACATATAAAATATATAGTCCCCAAAACTGGAATGTCGCTACAGCACATTTGATGTACATTTTGGTCCGCAGTCTCACATCCCCATACCTCTCCTGAATTAAACTATATCATATGTCTGCAACAGGGTAGAAGAAAATCATCAGTTTTTGTTTTTGTTTAAGATAACTTTCAGGTTATCTAAAGTCCATTTCCAGACCACAGCACCTCTTATGTAACTTCTCAGGTTCCACAACTCTGGGTTAAGTAACAGAAATCTAGACTTTACAGAAGTTTACCTTAATTGGTATAAATTGGCATTAAATGATATGAGTATGAGCGACCTGGATTCTGGTACATTGAAGCAGAAATACCATTAATCTAGATAACAGTCCTAGAAACCGTAGCAATATTGTATAGGTCCATCAATGTCAGGTTCCATTTAATTAGGTAATGGGTTTCAAACCCCAAATTCTCAGTCAATAAGGATTGTATAGATCAAAGTTCTCATTAGCCATGCTGTGTAATCACTCTGGATCATTGTTTGTAGCCTTGTCTGTGTTCTTAGTGAGTTCAATCAGTATGGAGATTAGGTTGTCAAGACCAGCTGTGTAGCCATCTTCGTGATTTCCCTCGACCCATGGCGATCTGTGATCTATACTCACACTAGACGGAAGTGGCATAGTTTTCCCAAAGTCTATCATCCATGCATTAGCCTTTTCTGACTTATCATGGACAAACAATAGCGAGCTGCCAATGATCTGTAACAAAAGTGTACATCAATTGTATATAACCATTCTAATTATATGAACTAAGTATTGTTACATATTTAATTACGAAAATTTACATTATGCACTAAGAAAATTTGATTATTGATATCTATTATAGTTAGAGATTCAATTACTTGCTGAACAAGAAAATTTTAGAATGTATTTGTTATTTCCTTTCATGAAGAAACATGAAGCGACAATTTCTGATAGTATTCATTACAAGGCATATTGCATTACAAACATAAATTTTCCCTCCTTTTCAGATTGTCTCCCTTGATTCAACAGTTTAAGTTTTATATGGCTAATGTCATGCTCCAAACAGGACAGAGACTAGGGCCACTTTCGTTTATCGCGATCCAAATGGTTGAACTGGTGTGACCAGAGTTGCTCGTTTATGAAATAAGGTTGGACCTAGTAATCTGAGGGTGCTTTCAGGCGAGCCTTGAAAAAACCTTGCACTTAGGACTGTACAAATATTTCTAGGTCCGCCAGGATTTATACCCGAAAATGTTACTTTTAAAAACAGAAAAACCGGTTGATTCGCATAAACAAACAGGCCTTAGAGTTTGATATAATTTGATGTACAAACCTCATGTAAACGGAAGAACTCGGAAGTTTCTTGAGTAGCTCGGATAGCCTTTAATCGTCTTATATATCTGGACTGGAAAAAAAAACAAAGTTCATAAATATTTATACATCGAAATTTATCTAATTCATAAATGTCCTAAAATTGTTAATATTATATCCTTAGTGTATTATATATTATGATATTCATATGTACTAATTTTTTCCAGGAATAGGTTGTAAGTTGAGGTACATAATCAGATTTTTATAAGTTAGATTTACTGGTGTTGGGCAAAAAATTGACTGGGGGAATATTACCCCTATACAGTCGGCTGTACATTCTGGAAATACAGAGTTTACTGGTGTAGGCCAAAAAATTGACTGGGGGAATATTTCCCCTATACAGTAGTCTGTTTTAAATTAAGTTTCATAATTATATTTAAGCAGGTTAAGGTACAAGAATAGCCTTCTTTTAGTTTACATTTTTGTAAGTTGAAGTACATATCGGCCATTGAAATGACAGATAATATCCTACAGGATAGAGTAAGAATTTAATAACTCATTTTTTTCACATTTCCAGAAAGTTGAGTGGTACCTATGGAGACAGACTTACCAGAATCTCCTGGTTATCTCCTAGGAAGGATTTCAATGAGTGGTACCTACGGTGACATACTTACCAGAATTTCCTGGTTATCTCCTATGAAGGATTTCAATGAGTGGTACCTACGGAGACACACTTACCAGAATCTCCTGGTTATCTCCTATGAAGGATTTTAATGAGTGGTACCTACGGAGACACACTTACCAGAATCTCCTGGTTATCTCCTATGAAGGATTTCAATGCTTCCTTTACCTCCTCACAATTTTGTGTTTTCTTAAAATTTTTGCTGGAGCCTCCATTTATTTTCTGTTGAGAAAACAATTTATGTCAGTTCATTACTGCTTACATAATTTGTTAAAAGTCTGCTTGATTTTTAAAATGTCATCTAAACCACCTTTTTCATATTTTGATATTGGAAATAGGAAATAAAAAACCAAAAACCAAAAGCATTGTCAGCAATTTCTGGCTGACAATAACATCCACAAAATATTACAAGTCACAATATTTTTCATTGGTACTTCCTGATAATGCTGTTATTCTTTTTGCCATTTTTGGTATATCTCCATATCTTCCAATATGTTAAAACTCTGGGCGTTTTCTCTTTCCTTTGACAAGAAACATTTCTATTCTTAATATGTTTTAACAGGATATAAACATTGCAGTGTAATATTGTACTGACAATATCTCACCATGATACCCTCTATGCGGAAGCCAAGGTTGACGGAAGAACTCATCTCATCCCTCCATTGCATGTAGCGAGGTTTGATGATAGCCTGCTGGGCATGCTCCTCCTCCGTGGGTGCAGACGGGTCAACTTCCATCATCTTCTGGTACATATCCTATTACATTGACACAAAACTAGATTTTAAAAGTTTGTCTTTACATTTGTTGAATAAAGTTACTGTAGTGTAATACATAACATTACCAGATTTTTTAAAAATATATTGACAATGTGTTAATATATGTAATGTCTGGTTTTACTTAAACGGGGAAAGGGAAGGAGGAGAAAAGGAAGAAAAAGGGAATGAAGGTTTGTAATGAAATGATCGGGGGAGGGAGGGATGGAAGGGAGACTAAAGAAGGGAAATGTAGCGTAATTGAGGATCATGTGGCAGATTGATGGGGTGGATGGGGGAGGAGAAAGATATCAGAAGATTTGGTGAAGTAGGAGGCCAGGAGTTGTGAGAAAGAGAAATGGGGAAAAAGTGAAGAGAAACCAGAGATGGTGTTAAAGCCACCTAATGCTTGCCTGTTTAAAAATTATCATCTTTAATAATCTGTTTGTTTATTGGGGTTTAGCGACCCTTTAACGCATGTATAGGTCATATTGAGACGGTGTCTGCTTGCGACAGGTAAACTTACGGTGACTTTATAGTGCTGTCTCACTGAAATATCATGACGCACACACATTGCCATGATACTTCACTTGGTCACATTATCCTTAGCAGGGAGTGAGATGATTGCCTTATATTAAAGTCTTAGGTTTTGACCCGACCTGGATTCTTCTAACAGGCGAGCTAAAAGAGAAGGATGAAGCTGTGTGATATAGGGATTGGAAAGGGAAAATGGATACAGGCACTGCTAGTTGCGAGAGGGGGCTTATTTGCGGTGAAATACGGTAATGCCCTAACCTTGCGTAACTTGGGCTTTTCTCTGGCTTTTACAAGTTCCTCCTCCAGGTACGTTCGTGTGCCCATCTTGATGTCCATGACACATGGTGCATCAAACTCACATAGCAAGTCCTGCATTTGGTTGTATTCTAAACGCTGGTTAAGGCAAATAAAAAAAATTAGTTTGTCAAATAGTATACTACAGAAGTTGGTCAATGAGGAATGTCAACACAAGCATGACTTACCAGCGGAATATGTCTGTAGGTAACTTTGATGTCAATATCATATTATACAGTAAACTATGTAATAATGATGATATGACAATGGCCTGACAGCCATCTTGATCATTTGACCATTCACAATATCAAGTTTGAACAACTGTGGGTCTTGTCTGTGTGCAATTTAAGAAGATCAATCCTCTCAATACTTTTTGAGAAATAATGATAACATCCCTTACTTGTTAAAATCTAAAATGGCTGCCTGGCAGCCACCTTATTATTTTAATCAGTCTCAAAATGAACATGCAAAACTATAAGGACGATATTTGGGAGAGATCTGTCCAAAACGTCTTGAGACAATGAGATTACAAGAATTGTTTAAAGACAACGACAAACAGTGGATCACAAATGAAAAGCATTTGTAAACCCATCATCTAACAAGTACTAATTGTAATGGACCATTACAGAAGTCCCCCAAACTGCCCCCATAGTCGCAAAGATGCATCAGAAAAGGATCGCAATACCATAACACATATTTTTACATAATAATTTACATACTAAATTGAAGCATCAAACAATTTCTAAATTGCAACCAATTAGAAGCCTCTGTGTGGTTGCTATGGCAACGAAACACATGCGTTTGAAGTCCCCTAATACCCCTATATACCATTTTTCATAAAAATCGAAACAATATCTAAATTTTGACCAATCAGAAGCCTCTGTGTGGTTGCTATGGCAACGAAACACATGCATTTGAAGTCCCCTAATACCCCTTTATACCATTTTTCATAAAAATCGAAACAATATCTAAATTTAGACCAATCAGAAGCCTTCATGTGGTTGCTATGACAACGTAATATAAGCAGTTGAATTTGCAGTCCCCTAATACCCCTATATACCAATTTTTATAAAAATCGAACAATATCTAAATTTTGACCAATCAGAAGCCTCTGTGTGGTTGCTATGGCAAGGTAACCTATGAGGTTGAATTCGCAGTTCCCTAATACCCAATTTTCATCAAAATTGAACATTAATTTATCTGAATTTTGGCCAATCAAAAGCCTCCGCGTCATGTGGTTGCTATGGCAACAATCTGAAAATAAAGACTTGAATGCACAACTACATATGCCCTTATCAATCATGTGAAGTTTCATCAAGATATGACTTGTGGTCTTTGAGAATATGGTCGGACAAGTTCACGGCAGAAGAAGAAGAACAATAGGTCACTGTTGCATTATATCCTGAAGATGATGACCATTATCCTTAAATATTGTGTCGATCATCAGACGTCCTTGTCAGTGATGCTGTATGTAAAGGATACTGTCATTGTTTTTGATCACATGGCCCCTGTACTCGGGCACATACGGCCGCAGCACATCCTTCATCAACTTCACCAGGGCCTTTTCTTCGTGTGGATCAAACTTCTTTAAAACACCTCCAGGTTCACCAGCTTGGAAATTTCCTGAATCAAAACACAATAATTATCAGATCATGTAACAATAATATTTTTCCTCAACCCAGACACAAAGCATGTTATTCACTGGTCTTATATAGCCATGACAACATCCTCCAAATTGTTTGTTTTACCCCACACAGACAGCAGATCCTCCCAAACAATGTCTAACTGAAGCAAACTACTACAAATCAAATTGTTATTTTCTACACTGTAGTAAACATTAAGTGATTGTCATCCCACGCACATGCAGTCACATAGTGTTTACAATGACTTGTATAAATGTAAACATGTCATATTAGCGTGGATCTAAAATCTTTTTATAGAAATTTAACAACAATACAGAAAATGTTTATAACAGGAAACAAATAAAGTCTCTAGTAAAATTCTACCACTTGAGTTAGCAGGAAAGCATGTTTCAGTACAAAAATATGTATATGACAAGGTTAACCCTAGAGGATATTGCAGTTGTGTCGAAATGTAAAATATCTCTGACAATTACAGAACCTGCTACATAGGAATCTTGTTAGTCTGACCCCTAACAAAACAAAAAACTTTGTTATAATGAAATCTTGTAAGACTGACCCCTAACAAAACAGAAACCTTTGTTATAATGAAATCTTACAAGTCTGACCCCTAACAAAACAGAAACCTGTGTTATAATGAAATCTTGTAAGTCTGACCCCTAACAAAACAGAAACATTTGTTATAATGAAATCTTGTAAGACTGACCCCTAACAAAACAGAAACCTGTGTTATAATGAAATCTTGTAAGTCTGACCCCTAACAAAACAGAAAACTGTCTTATAATGAAATCTTGTAAGACTGACCCCTAACAAAACAGACACCTATATTATAGTAGAGCCTTGTTAGTCTGTCCCCTACACAGAAACATGTGCTATAGTAGAACCTTGTAGGTCTGTCCCCTAAACAGATACATGTACTATAGTAGAACCTTGATAGTCTGTCCCCTAAACAGACACCTGTGCTATAGTAGAACCATGATAGTCTGACCCCCCTAAAAATACAGAAACCTGTTATAGTAGAACCTTGATAGTCTGTCCCCTAAACAGAAACCTGTAATAGTAGAACTTCATTAGTCTGACACCGCTAACAATACAGAAACCTGTTATAGTAGAACCTTGTTTGTTTGACTCTTGAAAATACAGAAACTTGTGTTATATTAATGGAGCCTTGTTAGTCTGACCCTTGAAAATACAGGAACCTGTGTTATAATGGAACCTTGTAAGTGGTGCAGTATCAGGTAATTTATGACAAATTTATATTTTACAATTCTAAAGATGGATAAGAATCGATACATATCAAATCAAATCTAGATTCCAATCAATTCCAAACAAGGGTATTTCATAGAAATGCCCTACCTTGATGGCCTGCTAGTTGTATCCATGGATACCGGTGCTTTTTGAACTGTTGTATGAATGGTGACCAGTGGACAATATTCCGTATCTTTCTCCAGGAACTTTGCTGCAACAGATGAAAAAAAATGACCTTAATTTTTTTTTTCATGTATTTTATTTTTCTGCATAAGAACGCAAAGATTTTCCTGTGAAAACTTTATGTGGATGATCCTTTTACATACATGTACTTCTTTAGAACCTTTGATTAGTTTCTGTGCTGATAAACATATACATTTCAATTTAATAATAAATATTTCTTGCCATTACAAGTCTCTAAATTTTGATCCTCATTTATTATTTTTTGACATCACCATTCCCCATTAGGTGATAAACTGGTATTTTGCACTGTTATTTTGTCAAGTAGATATCACTTTGAAGATCTTTCAGACATTTCTTTTGTCATGTGGTTCCAGGTTCTCCTTTTGAAAAAAGTTAAGGAGTAAAACAACATTTTGTGAGGGGTTGTGGTATCATTACTATGGTATTGTGAGGGGTTGTGTGTGGTAACATTACTATGGTATTGTGAGGGGTTGTGGTATCATTACTATAGTATTGTGAGGGGTTGTGTGTGGTATCATTACTTTGGTATTGTGAGGGGCTGTGGTATCATTACTATGGTATTGTGATTGGTTGTGGTATCATTACTATGGTATTGTGAGGGGTTGTGTGTGGTATCATTACTATGGTATTATTGTGAGGGGTTGTGGTATCATTACTATGGTATTGTGAGGGGTTGTGTGTGGTATCATTACTATGGTATTGTGAGGGGTTGTGTGTGGTATCATTACTATGGTATTGTGAGGGGTTGTGTGTGGTATCATTACTATGGTATTGTGAGGGGTTGTGTGTGGTATCATTACTATGGTATTGTGAGGGGTTGTGTGTGGTATCATTACTATGGTATTGTGAGGGGTTGTGTGTGGTATCATTACTATGGTATTGTGAGGGGTTGTGTGTGGTATCATTACTATGGTATTGTGAGGGGTTGTGTGTGGTATCATTACTATGGTATTGTGAGGGGTTGTGTGTGGTATCATTACTATGGTATTGTGAGGGGTTGTGTGTGGTATCATTACTATGGTATTGTGAGGGGTTGTGTGTGGTATCATTACTATGGTATTGTGAGGGGTTGTGTGTGGTATCATTACTATGGTATTGTGAGGGGTTGTGTGTGGTATCATTACTATGGTATTGTGAGGGGTTGTGTGTGGTATCATTACTATGGTATTGTGAGGGGTTGTGTGTGGTATCATTACTATGGTATTGTGAGGGGTTGTGTGTGGTATCATTACTATGGTATTGTGAGGGGTTGTGTGTGGTATCATTACTATGGTATTGTGAGGGGTTGTGTGTGGTATCATTACTATGGTATTGTGAGGGGTTGTGTGTGGTATCATTACTATGGTATTGTGAGGGGTTGTGTGTGGTATCATTACTATGGTATTGTGAGGGGTTGTGTGTGGTATCATTACTATGGTATTGTGAGGGGTTGTGTGTGGTATCATTACTATGGTATTGTGAGGGGTTGTGTGTGGTATCATTACTATGGTATTGTGAGGGGTTGTGTGTGGTATCATTACTATGGTATTGTGAGGGGTTGTGTGTGGTATCATTACTATGGTATTGTGAGGGGTTGTGTGTGGTATCATTACTATGGTATTGTGAGGGGTTGTGTGTGGTATCATTACTATGGTATTGTGAGGGGTTGTGTGTGGTATCATTACTATGGTATTGTGAGGGGTTGTGTGTGGTATCATTACTATGGTATTGTGAGGGGTTGTGTGTGGTATCATTACTATGGTATTGTGAGGGGTTGTGTGTGGTATCATTACTATGGTATTGTGAGGGGTTGTGTGTGGTATCATTACTATGGTATTGTGAGGGGTTGTGTGTGGTATCATTACTATGGTATTGTGAGGGGTTGTGTGTGGTATCATTACTATGGTATTGTGAGGGGTTGTGTGTGGTATCATTACTATGGTATTGTGAGGGGTTGTGTGTGGTATCATTACTATGGTATTGTGAGGGGTTGTGTGTGGTATCATTACTATGGTATTGTGAGGGGTTGTGTGTGGTATCATTACTATGGTATTGTGAGGGGTTGTGTGTGGTATCATTACTATGTTATTGTGAGGGGTTGTGTGTGGTATCATTATTATGGTATTGTGATTGGATGTGGTATCATTACTATGGTATTGTGAGGGGTTGTGTGTGGTATCATTACTATGGTATTGTGAGGGGTTGTGTGTGGTATCATTACTATGTTATTGTGAGGGGTTGTGTGTGGTATCATTATTATGGTATTGTGATTGGATGTGGTATCATTACTATGGTATTGTGAGGGGTTGTGTGTGGTATCATTACTATGTTATTGTGAGGGGTTGTGTGTGGTATCATTACTATATGGTTCCAAGGTGGTTTGACGACACCGTGTGGACTGTTTAGGTAAAGGATAATTAGCCATAAGGTCACATGGCGTAACAGATGATCATCAAAACATGTTAAAGTAAATACTGCAGCAGGCCTGGGGGGTAAATCATCATCCGACTATCTCTGCCATACACAGAAAGGTTTATTGAGTGTCAAAGTCAGGGGATCAGCTATCAACGACAACCACTCAGCCTGTTACATGTCACATGGTCATTACCTAGCAAGGTGTCCAATATTGCAGACTTCTTTTTATGATACATGAAATAGTTAGCTCACTTTCGACAGGTACAAAATCTACAGGTGAAACTTACCCAAACAGGTAAAAGTAGGATTGAGCCTTGACTAGTGATCAACGTGACATAAGGACAGGTGTACATCAAACTGGATTTATTTCAAAGGGAATTTTGAAGCATAAATAATATCTGAGTCTTAAAAGTGCAGGCTGTTATGAAATATTTTCTTAAAATACAAACATCCCTCAAAATCATTGAGCTGATTGAGTATAGGAGTCCACTGTTTCATCCATTTGATTCTGTTAGAAGGTTGTTTTGTCCGAGGACTGATCCAGAATTTAAACCATACTAAGGGCCTTTTACACAAATGATGCAGGAGGCACTTACTATTATAAATAGGGAATTTTCTCAAAATGGATTGTCTTTTCTGTTATAGGCCTCGACTCATGAGCTTGTTACAAGATAGACACAGTTCTTGCATAGCTTTATGTTTTTAATTTGACAAAAAAGACATCTATGTAGGAAATGAAATAAGTAATAAGAGAGTAGGCTATATGATCACTTACAATCACTTACAACAGTTTCAGTGACTATAGGCTACGATCACTTACAATCACTTAAAACAGTTTCAGTGACTATTGATGGACTGATTGAGCGAACAGGAATGTTACTTTCATTTTGTTACATTTAGCAAAGTTAATAGTAGTCTATTTTGATTGATTATAATAACTCTGTCACTTTTACACGAGCCCCTGCATGGCTATCTTTTGCAAAAGTTAGCTCTATTTTGATAGTGTTATGATGAATTCATAAACCCTAGTAACAGAATTTGATATACATGTAAACGTCCGAGCCAGTTGTTGACATACTGCGGTAAACCCTGCGGTAACAGAGTGATCCTATATGTAAAAGCTAGTCAGCTTACAGCTATCAACCTGACATCTTTGCTAGAAGGGACACATGTATTACACCTTACACAAAATATATATCACTTTGTAATTATAATAATACAACAAATTTAATTAAAGGTGGGGCATTTAAAAAATCAACCAAACCATGATAACTGGAGCGTTCTAATTAGAAGATGTGACATGTTATGACAGGTATAAAAAACCCAAACCACAAAACACAGGTATTGCTAAAACAATAGCTGCTTTATAGAACCCTTAACGATTTACATCATCAGTAAACTCCATCATTCAATGATGAAATTTAAAAACATCTAAAACCAAAATGTCAAACACTGGCTTGCGTTAAGACTTTAAATTAATAAATGTTCACTTTCTGATGTTATCAATTAGAAGGGAATTCCTGATAACTCAATTGTGTATTGGTAGAAATTGATATGATATTCTATAATATCTTCATGTAAATGGTATCAGTGTTTGATGCCTTTATGTAAAGCACACATAGCTGACAGGTCGCTGATTGATCATGTCCATACCAAACAGACATCAATGTCTCTCGGCTTCATTTTTCCCGCTGAAGTTCACCGAGTTATGAGAAAACATTGTATGTTTTTGTCCTGAGACAGCCTGTGATATATTTCCTGGTCAGCGGATCGGAAAGGCCATTGTTTTTTGTCGGTTACTGTGCTATAAAGACCTCCGTGCTAATCTGTCTCGCACATGAGTTGTCACTCCCCCGCACCTGTGTACCCTCACGACCTTCAGATGTCCCTCGTTTGTCTTATTATGCACGCAAATATGCAAATGGGGTTATTAAATCAAAACAGTTCAGGTAGATAAATCTCCCACCTTCACAGTTCAGGTAGATAAATCTCCCACCTTCACAATTCAGGTAGATAAATCTCCCTCCTTCACAGTTCAGGTAGAAAAATCTCCCAACCTTCACAATTCAGGTAGATAAATCTCCCAACTTTCACAGTTCAGGTAGATAACCCCTACCTTCCCAGTTCAGGTAGATACATCTCCAGACCTTCACAGTTCAGGTAGATAAATCTCCCACCTTCACAATTCAGGTAGATAAATCTCCCACCTTCACAGTTCAGGTAGATAACTCTCCTACCTTCACAGTTCAGGTAGATAAATCTCCCACCTTCACAATTCAGGTAGATAAATCTCCCAACCTTCACAGTTCAGGTAA